TGTGAAAGATGATAACCTGGTAATCCTGATGGCCAATAATCCCAAGTACTGGGTGTCACATTGGGTAGCCTACAATTCTTCACTCAGAATATGATGAGGAGCATCTGGGGAAAGACCGATTAAACTGATTTTTGCCTGGCTCTAAGCCCTGCTTCATAGTTACTACACACAGCTTTTCGAAAGCAAAGCTCACATTTTTCAAAATATGTTCCATACCTACTCTATGCTACAATGTCGGAAACTGAGTACGAGCGTCAGAAGCGCTGTCAGAGAGTAGCAGAGGCCATTCCTATCAGTGACATATATATAAATACATACATATCCCAAAAAATATATATATATAATTGTCGCTTTGTAACCGCTAAAGCTGTTTTCGGCCGAGCTCCACCACCAATTTGTGGTTTTGCGTCTTGATGTTTTTCCAAAAAAATAGAGGGACAATTTACTAAGCTGACTCCAAAAGGCTGATAGCGTTTGAGAGGTGGGAGACCTATCTTCTTGATTTTTAGATGCGCATTCAGGTGATATTCTTATAATTACCATGAAGATATGATCTTGAGTGGAATGTATCTACGAAACATCAAAAATATGCTCGTTTCAAACAAACAACCCGTGTACTCGTGCCTTGATGCTCAGATGTTTGTCGACCGTCGGCGTTATGTGAGTTGAGTTTTCGAAAGAAAGTTTTCGGGCGCGATTTACGAATGAAAAAGGCGAAGGCATAGAAAACGAAGGACTTGCACTTTTAAAGAGCAAACGGATCAGTGTGAGAGATCCAACGGCATCACTCAGTATCTCCAATTTGGGGCTGAACGGTGATGAGAACAAACGATTGGCGTGCTATTGTTGATTCAGTAATAATGCAGTAAGCAATTAAAAAGATGAGAATTTTTTGAAAACAAAAATTTCCAACTCAATCGCATTAATAAAAAAATTTTTCCAAAAAGAAAATATCAAATTGACCACACAATTTATTGCTTAATAATAAATCAAATAAAATCAAAGGCAAAAGGGATCGCTAATTGCCGCTAAAAACCAAAAGCCAAAGAAGAGGGAAAGACAACTAATTCAAGCAATCTAAGATTTTGTTTTTCATTATTCATGTCTCTCATACACTCATCTCAACTGTATGAAAACCATGTGTCATAATCATCACAATATCAAATCAAAATGCAATAAAAAAAGTGTTGTGGCGTTAATAATAAAACACTTCATTGAGCAGAAAGAATAATCCCAAAAAAAAAAAAAAAAAAAAAAAAAAAAAAAGGAAGGAAAAAAATGAAATGTAAATACTTAAATAAATGAAAAATATTTTGCTATTCTGTAAGTTCATGTGTGTATATGTATGTATGTATGTATGTATGATGGTGTGTAATTTCACTTGGCTAATTTGATTCGTTCGATTGGAATTTTGGTAGCAAGCATCATCTTGGATTGACATTAAATTGGCGTGAATGAAGTTGTTGCTATTAATATATTTTGTTTTTATTTCTTTTCTTTCTGCTGATTACACATCTCTTGCATTTGCTGGAAGTATCGGAAGTGCTAATGACAATTCTCTCTTCAGTGTAAGTAAATATAGGTATGTATAGTTTGTGTGTCAAAGAAAAAATATATAAAAAAAAAAATTCATTGAAAAGTTGTAGTCAAAACAGAGCTATTAAGGTAGATAACAAAAAGTAGTAGAAAGTTGTAAATACTAAAAAATGAAACACATAGAAATACAGAAATAGTTGCAATCGATTGCTGTGATGAAGTGAAGTGTCGGAGTGTATCTTGTTTGTGGCAATGCATTTGCCTGGAGAGCAATTATTATTATTGTACAGCGAATGGAGTGTCTGAGCGGGTTACAGTTAAACAAAGTAAGTAAGTATGTATGCATGTTGTGAGGTGTGTGGTTGATTTGAGATTTTCCAATACTTCAAGGAAATCTGTGTGTGGGCGTAAATATGGCCTAGTAAAAATTTATTAAAAAATTTTTAAAATTTTTTGACTTCTAGTTTTGTTGAAGTTAAAATATTTTATGAAATAATTGAAATTTGTTACGAAAATTTTAGGATTTATAAATTTTTAAAAACAATTTTTTATTTATTTATTTATTTATTGTTTTTGTTTTCACTTTTTTCTACTGTCTGACAGTTTCTTTTATTATTCAATTATTATTAAATTATTATTAAATTATTCTTAAATTATTATGAAATTATATTGTATCCGACAATATAATAATTTATTTCATTTAATTATTTTTTTTATATCCTTTTAATTTATATAATTTTTTTTTCAATTTTTTTTATATTTTTTTTTATATAATTTTTTTAATGACTTTTTTACATTATTTTTCTGTTTTTAATTTTATTATACTTTATCTCGTTTATCTCATTTTTTTATGCTTATTTATTTTTGTTTCATTGTATTATATTATTTAATATCATTATTATTATTTATCATTAATTTAATTAATTTAATTAATTTTTATTTTGTTTCATTTTATGTTATTTTATTTAATTTTATTTAGTAAATTTGACATAATTAATTTTTTTCTTTTATATGGTGCAGTAAAAAGTTCGTTCGGTTTTTATCTAAGTTATGACGTTATTGTCCATAGCACTAGTGTTACGTGTCGCATCATGTCATACTAGACGACATTGAAAACGTGTTTATTCGCGCTATAAGTTTGTCTTTGACAGTTTTTCGGTTGATTGACTCAGTACGTTGTGAGCGCTTGTCAAAGCTGGACACCAGAAATGAGAAAATTCGCTATATTTAACAATTTCTCTTCACTCAAGGCGAAAAAGCAGCCAAAGCGGCTGAAAAAAATTAATTTAGTTAATGGGCCCGTTACTGTAAACGCACGTGTGGGTTGCTAGCTGCCGTTCCGGTAATTTCGATGTCAAAGATGCACCACACGTAGGGAGGCCTGTCGTCGAAAATTGCGTTAAAATGGAATGAAAATAGATAGACCGTCACGTGAGCACTTATTTAATTGCTGAGGAACTAAAGATAAGCCAGAAAACCGTTTGGAACCATTTGCATAAGCTTGGCTTCAAAAAGAAGCTCGATGTTTGGATGCCACACGAACTAATGCAAAAAAACATGATGGACCGAATTTCCCTCTGCGAATCGCTGCTGAATCGCAACATAATCGACGCGTCGCTGAAGCGCATTGTGACTGGCATGGGTCACTTACGACAACATCGTGCGCAAACAGTCGTGGTAAAAGCTCGAGGAAGCGGCCCAGATGGTGGCCAAGACCGTATTGACAGCCAGCAAGGCTTTGCTGTGTGTTTGGTGGGATCGGCAAGGTATCAGGTACTACGAGCTGCTCCTCTATGGCCGAACGCTCAATTCGGCGCTCTACTGCCAGCAAATGTACCGCTTGAAGGCAGCACTCATCCAGAGGAGGCCAACTTTGATCAACAGTGGCCAAATTGTGTTCCATCAGGACAACGCCAGGCCACACACGTCTTTGGTGACTTACCAGTAGCTCCAGCAGCTCGGATGGGAGGTCCTAATGCATCCACCTTACCTTCTTTTCCTGTCCATGGCGAACGCACTTAATGATGAGAAGTTGGCCTCAAGAGAGAGGCCTGTGTAAATTGGTCAATAGGGGCGCAGCCTTCTACGAGAGCGATATAATGAAGTTGTCATATCGTCACTTCTTGACTCAAATCGGTCAAATGCACACAAAGTTATCATTTTTTGAAAAATCAATAAAAAACCGTACGAACTTTGTACTTTAATATTTATTTAATTTTTTTTTATTTAATTTTATTTTTCAAACAGCATATTTTGTTTTACTTTATTTTTTTATTTTACTTTGTATAATAAAATTTTATTAAAGTAAGTTTGTTTTTCAACACATTTCGAAAAATATTTAATTTAATTTTACTCTATTTTATTTTGCTTTACTTAATTTTATTTATGTTAATTTGTTTGTTTATTTTGTTATTTAAATTATTTTAATTAATTTTTTTTAAATTAGATTATAATAAACTTATATTTTAACAAATTTTTTTATTGTATTTTATTTTAGTTCATATTATTTAATTGAAGTTTACCTTGGTGTACATTTTTACAAATTTTTTTATTTTACTCTGTTTTAATTTAGTTTGTTTTATTTACCTTGGCTTATGTTATTGAAAGTTTTTTTATTTGTTTTTGACCTTATTTTCTTTGTCGGGTTATTTAATTTTTTTTCACTAAATTTTTAATCCTAAAATATTTTTATTTTATTTGTGTTTTTTTATTGAATATATTAAAATATTATTTTAAGTTATTTAATTTGATTATTTTAAGTTGTTTAACGATTTTTTTTTCTTTTTATTTAATTTAAATTTATTTGCTATTATTTTAATTATCATATAGAAATTAATTTTTTTTTGCTTTGTTTAATTTTATCCGTCTTTATTTATTTTGATTGAATTTTTTCATTTTTGCTGGTTTTTCATTAATTATAATAAAATTTTATTTTATATTTTCTAATTAAAATTAATTAAATTATATAAAAAATATTTTTTATCTTCACTTAACTTATGATTATTTATTTTTGTTTTATTTTAAATTATTTTATATATTTTTGTTTAATTTTATTTCGTATGACTTTATTTTATTTTAAATTTTTCTGTTTGAAACCTTTTCTCAAATTTCGTGTGCAGTGTGAGTGAAAATTTTGTTGAAAGAGTGATTGAAAATATTATTGTAAATACAATATAAAAAGTAAATTTGCTAAATAAATTAAAAAAAAAGATATAAAAAATTTCATTCTTCACATTTTTCAAATAACCAGCTAATATGAGGTGTATGTAATGTGTATGTGTGTATGTGTGTGGTTAGTATGTGTGCTCTGTTGGCGAACAACTTCTATGAAATGTACATTTCATAAGTCTAATACAACTAAATGCTTTATTATTTTCTATTTCGCATTCTAAGCGTGTTAACGTTTTCATCTAAATTCTTTTCTATAATTTGTTTAATTTCTTATTTTTTTTTTTGCAGTGTACCTATAAGAGGAACAGCGTCCGACGTTGTCGGCATGGATTCAGCAACAAGATTTAGAAATACTGTTAAGGATAGAAGTATAGTTACGCCTGCAATCAGAGATAATAAAAAAAGAAAAAAACGATAAAAAATATTTCACTAAAAATACACTGGAAAAAATTTTTGAAAAAAAAAACAATATATATCTCTTAAATGAGTGCTAAGTAAATAAACTGCTTGTCACTGCCGTTGACCTTAAATAAATAATTACTGGAATAAAATGTAAATAAATTTAATAAATTAGAGTTGTATAAAGCATTGCTTCGGCTGGTTGTAAGCAGGTAAGCTTGTTGATTTTTGCAAATATTTAGTGTTGTGACGCGCTTTAAGTCACCTAAAACAACTTGTTGTTTGGGAATTTTTTTTAAAGTTGGGATTTTGTTGGTTGTTTAGTTTTTATTTATTTTTCAATTTTTTTTTATACTTTTTAACATTTTCTTAACATTTACAGTGTATTTAATTTTTTTTTTTTAATATTTCGGTACTAATTTTTAATTACGAATTAAAGCTGGTTTAGTTTTTGAGTTAAATATAAAAATGCCACCCAATGTGTGCGAAAACCTTATATAAATTCTATAAACTTTGGGATCGGTTATACTCTGCTTGCCAAACTGCAGGAAAATCCAAGAGAATTGAGTATTACACAAGCTGGAGTGTTGTCACCACTCCCTTGACCTCGCGCAGGCAATGGTGAAGATGTAGGGGAAAGCAGCCATGAGCCATGAGGTAACTGGGTTAAATCAGTGGAACTTATTCACAAGAAAATGCAAAATTCCCTCTTGGAATAAACCAAAGCTGGATAGGCCGCTTTATCGTGGAGACACAATGTGTAGGAACAAGTGAAAAGCTATCAGAGTCACATGTATACATATAAAAGATAGTCTTTCACCTTTCCTCTATCACTGGGTCTTCCTTACAGTCTTTAAGCCAATATATCTAGAAGTGCTTAAGAAAGTCTTCAAACGCATTTGAGTATACAACCCACTGGTCGAGTAGTTTAGAACAGGGCATTTATAATTACCACAAGATTATACGGTTCAAAGTAGCTGAAGATCAGGTTATGTGGACACAATAATATAGCTTTATCCCTAAATATCTACTACTTGGACCGGCGCCTGACTTTCGTCCAGTATTTCTTTACTAAAATAGACACGAATGGTTGGAGCAAAGCTCTGAGGTTTGAAGATAAAAATATAGACAAAATAAACAGCTGAGTGGGTCTGCAGTTTACTGGGCACAACCAGAAATGCTAAGAAGCAATAAATTTCCAGTCAAAATATTTGCTATAAAAATAGTGACAGAGCTATTGCAGGGAACAGCCTTCAATGCAGATAGCTTAGCGGGCTTTACGGTCTTATTTTCATACAACAGAAAGTCGGAGGTGTTTGCACTTGGTAGGAAGGCTATCAAAAGACTGATTAAGGAAAAAAGAATACATATTTTCTTGGTGACCAGGTCGGGTACCCATCGAAGGTAATGAGAGAGCTAATGTACTGCTTAGAGAGGGTTTCCTTTTAGAACAAACCGTAAGGATGGACTAGCCGGTGCCATACAGCAAAGTGAAGCGGATAAATGATCTTATTTCACCAGCCAAACAGATTTTAGGAAAGGTAAAATGTAGTTTCTACCAGCGAAAGACCTTACTAGACCAGTGGTCAGCGTTAAGGCTACTGGTGGAATTATTAATGAGGCCAGTACTGGAAGTGTATGGAATGAACGAAAGCAGTGTAGAACGTAATCTGTGAGTGACGGGCGTTTGGCAGAGCGAGGCGCATCTCAGTGACTAGGGAGATTTCAGCAATGAATAAGGGATTCAAATCGACTTTTTCAATTTATCTGAAGTTTCTTTGGTAGCGCCGGTAGTTTTTGAAGGTTCTGAACTTCTTGCGTTTGCCAGTTTACGGATCTAATATTATTTGTTAGTTTTAAAATTTGTTACTAGATGCCTAAGAAGCATGGAGCTTTCATTGTTAAACATTTTAAGAACTTGATTTAAAGTTGTTTCTTTTTTTATAGGAAAAGACTTGCTATATATTGTAGTTTATTTAAAACCTTTTCTTCTGATGTTAAATAATATAAATTTTTATATTAGAGACTTTAACTAGGGACTTAAAGGTAAAACCCCGATTTAACCAGCTTTAACTATAATCAATAAAAAACAATATTTTCATGCAAAAATTTAATTAGTTTATTTTTTTTGTTTAACTAAGAAAATTTTATTTTTTATTAACTAAAATTTATTTTTTTTTTATTTTTTATTTATTGACACTTATTTAAAATCCAGCATTGCCTCATTTCGCTACCGCAGTTTTAGTTGAGATTAAGAGCTGCGCTGGTATAACAAAAAAAAAAAAAAAAAAAAAACAAAAAAAATTAAAAATCAAAGCCTCTAGTAAACGTTAAATATTTTTCGTAAAAAAAATATTTTTTTTTTATTTACCACTTTACGCTCTTACTTTACTTTTGTTTCGTTGGTAAAATGGCGCATCTGAAAATGTCACTTAAGAAAATTTATTCTTGTACATAAATAAATGTATATGTGATAAAAAAATTCTTAAAAAATGTAAAAAATTTTTAATTTTTTCAAATGACATGTATGTAATATAATATATTTTCATAATTTTTTTTTTTTTTTTTTGATTTTTCTTTTTCGCACTTTCACTTACCTAATGTTAATTTTTCGCCCGAATCGGGAGGTAGTGTAAATCCTAATAAAGCCATCGATGATATCAGCACACACGGCACAATTAAATTGAAAAAATAATATAATGTACGCCGTCGGATTTGTATCGTGAATGTAACGTCCACGTAGGGTTCCGGGCAGCAGGCGTAGACGATGGTATTCTTCTTGCCGGGCATTGCTGTTGTTGTCCATTATTGTTCATTGTTTTTGCATTTGGTGTACATTTCGTTAACGCAGTAAATAATTTCAATAATATATATATATATATATACATAAATATTTATACATATCGGGTATATATATATTTTTTTTTTTTTTTTTGGGGTAGAGCGTAAAAATGGTTGCAAAAATATTCAAGTTGGGTTAAGTAACAGAATTTTTTTATGCAACAAATTTTGGGAGAGAAAAAGAAATTGAGAGAAAGAGAGAAAGAGAGAGAGAGACAAGGTATTAGCAATAATGTGGAGGAATTTGTTGGAGTTATGAAATTAAAAACATTCAAGGCAAGTATGCACACTACTAAAAACAGAAAAGAAAAAAAAAAGTAAAAATTCTTTTAAAACATTTTTAATTGCTCAATAAAATTTATGCAAATTTCTGTTCTAAAAATTTCTAATAAATTTCTATATATTTTTCTTTGCAATTTTTTAAAACACAATTTTCAAAATGGCAGTTTTTGTCTATTATTTTTTTTTTTAATATTATTTTTATATTTCTATAATAATCACTTCGATTTAAAATTAATATATAAAAGTATTGTAAATAGTTTAAATTTATTAAAAAAAAATTAGTCTGAGAGAACTAAAGCTTTCTCCCAGCAAAATATCATTTTAAAATATCTCTTGAATTATTTGAAAAATCGGAAAATTAGTTTAGTTGCTCTCATGCGCTTCTTTGGCTTAGAACCAATTTTTTGCCCTTCAGCAAAACTTTGATTAAACAGTTTTTATTTAGTTTTGATTAATTGGATTTTTTTCGTTTCGGTTATTTCTCAATTTCAATTGATTAATCAAAGACTACAGACTAAAGATCATAACGCAGAAATCGAGAATTAGTTAATGAATTCATTAAAATTTTTTAAAAGAATATTTAAATTCTAATTAAGCTAATTGTAAAACAATTTATTTTTTATTGACTAAGCAAAATATTTAAAAACCGAGTAATTCAGTAAACTGATTAATCAAAGAAATGTCTGATTCAAGTCTTTATTAAATTAAGTTCTTTTAAGTAAGTAATTCATATTCCTAGAAACTTAAATAATTTAATTGATTGACTTATCATAAACTGATTAATTAATCAGCAATATGACTAACCGAAAAATGTTTAATTATAATTATGTCGTTTACAGTTAAACGTTTTACGGTCGTTTATAATTAAGCACTTTTTGATAAATCATATTTTTTATTAATTAATCAGCTTAATTTCATTGTTTTCAATTAATTAATCGTAATCTTGAAAAACTCAAAAATTTTTTTTAACTTTAATCAACCGAAGATATGATTAAATTAAAAATGATTAAAACAAAGCAAGCTACTCGTAAGTCGAAATACATTTCTTTTATTAATTAATCATATCCGAGATTAGAAATCTAAGTAATTTAATTAGTTGACTATTCAGCAATATGATAACATAAAAAATAGCTGCTTCTAAGCAACCTAACTCTGAATTTATTGTTTTTATTTGATTAATTATAATGTTGAAAATTGATCTCATAGTTTAATCAAATCAAAGATATCTTTAATTCAAAACTGCCTATGTCTTGTTTCATATATTTCTTTTTAATAATTTATATTAAAAAACATAAAAATATAGGAGATAATAAAGATATGGTAAATCAAGGAAAAGTCTAATTCAAAACAATTAAATAATCTTTTATATTGATTACTAACAGTCTTGAGCAGCTTAGACTTTTAATTAATTGAATTAGTCGACTAATCATATGCATGATTAAATTTACAGTAAACCAAATTTATTATTATTTTTAATAATTAAAAAAATATGATTAATTCAAAAAAAAATTCTAATATTATCTAATTAATTTAATTTAAAGAAGTAATCAATAAATTATTAATAAAAAATAAAAATAATTCAAAATGAACCAAGTATTAATTAATTGACTAATCTCAATAAAGCCTAATCAAAAACACAATTATTTCAAAATGACTTTATTTTCAATTGATTAATTAATTTTCTTTATTGATTAATAATAATTTCTGTAAGCCCACAAATTTAATCAAAATAGTTAACAAAAAACGCGATTAATCAAAAAATGTATATGAATAATAATAATTTTGAAAAGTTCAGAGAGTTAATTAATTTAATTAGTCGACTAATGGGAAATATGTTTAATCGTATTATTTAAATGTTTTATTCTAAACGATCTAGCTCTTAATTTAATTTCATTTATTTATTTATAATTCTTGCATTGGTTTTGAAAAACTCAGTTAATTAATTTAATTATGTAATATGACTAATCAAAGAAATTTCTAATACAAAAATGATTATTTTTTTTATATTAAACAAAATTCTTAAAATTCTTAAACTTAAAAAAAGTTATCACAATTTTCGAAAATTACGTAATCAAATTTATTTAATTAAAAGATATAATTTTTTCGAAAGTAAAAACTTTTTCCGCTTAGACAAAAACTGCCATTTATGTTTTTGGAAAAAAATAACTAATTTTACTAATAATCACTTGCTATTTACACTATAGGTTTCTATATAATTATACATTTAAAAAAAAGAAAACAAATATTTTATCTTACGAATTTCATATAATTACAGCCATTAAAATGGAAAAAAAAATTAAATGAAATATTTTCCAAATTTATAACCGAAAATAAAAATAAGAAGAATAAACAAAAACATTTATACGTTACACAGAAAAATTTATTGTTAAAAGTTACTAACCAAGCAGATACCACTCGCCATTTGTTATGAAATCGGAAAGATCCCCTCCATCTTCGGAATTCAAAACCAAATCCAACTGTTTTTTTTTCGTTTTTGTTTTCATATATAAAAACATTTTTTATGTGTTTAGTTTTTATTTTGTATTTGTAATTTACAAAATTTTGTGCAATGACAAAAAGTCGTAAGAAAATAAAGAGATTTTTGGTTTAATTAGAGTTTTTGTTTTGAAGTCACAGGGTTGCATTTGTAATGGTTTTTAAATAGTTGTGGGATGTTTATATGTTTGTGTTTTTGAGATTTTTGTTTCATATTTATTGTAGTTGTTTATGTTCCGGTACAGGCAGAGTGTGGGAAAGAGAGAATCCAAAAATGTTTGTATTAATAACTTTTTCGTGTTTTTTTTTTATTTAAACATAAATTTATAGTTAGTTTTTACAAAGAGATATTGTAAAAAAGAACCATGACAACATTGAAGAGAACGACATTTAGGTGGTGTGTAGTGGTATGGTATATGTATGTTTGTATTTATTGTGTGGAGAGCATGTATTCGAGTGTTTAAAAAGTTTGTGAGAAAATAGCAGCGGAACGCGTGTCAGAAAAGTATACAGAGAGAGAGATAGAGTGCATAAAAATGACAGTTGTTTGATAGTTGAGCGAGCGATTGTACTTTTAATATTTGTCTTAATTTTAATTCGAATTTAAATTTAAATTTTAGCTTTAACTTTAATTTTAATTTTATTTTAATTTTAATTTTAATTTTAATTTTAATTTTAATTTTAATTTTAATTTTAATTTTAAAATTTAATTTTAATTTTAATTTTAATTTTAATTTTTATTTTAATTTTAATTTTAATTTTAATTTTAATTTTAATTTTAATTTTAATATTAATTTTAATTTTAATTTTAATTTAAAATTTAAATTTTTTTAATATTAATTCAAAAACGTATTTCGATACAAAACTTTAATATTTTTTTTAGAAACTCGAAATTTTCCATAATTGCTCTCAACTCTCAGACAGGCTGTGTAGAACTCTTATTATTATAGGTGTTGTGTGAAGTGGTAAAGGTTATAGAGAAGGTGCTCGTTTATCTTTTTCTATTGTGTCAATATAGGGTGCTTATTTGGTATGTGGCAGTGTTTTTTTTTATTTGTTTTAAAAATAATATTTAATATTCGAATTATAACGCTGATATATTCCGCTCACTATGAAGAACATGCTCAAAGAAAAGTGAGAGCGCAATGTTTTGATAGAGTTTCTGACATTTCTCTCACTCGCTTGCCATCTCACTCTCCTTTAGTTCTTATGTAGCGCAATAATAAAATTTGTTTGTCTTTCATTAAGAGTCGTTACGTACGTCCAAATTTTTTACGCACTTTTATTTTTTTATAATTTTTTTTTTTTTCTAGAAATCTACCTCGTTTTGCAAAAAAAATTTTGGCCTGGCTTTGTATTTGGTTTTTTTTTTCTTAATATTTTGTATTTCTTCTCTCCATGCAAAATAGTTGAAATTTTAATTTTTTCGAACCAGCAGTTATTTGTTTTTTAATAATTTTATAAATTTTTTTTTTCGAAAAAATCGTATTTCACACATGATTCCAATTAGCGGCTGCCTAAAATTAATTTTTTTATGTACTTCGGTTTTCTTTTTTACGTAGAGCGTTAACAGAAAACTACCAAGCCATTGCAGTAGCTGAGCAGTTTTGTGTCAACACCCTGTATTTTTAAGCAGTTGGCCGATTTTTTTGGTTGATTTGAGATTTTTAAATATTTTGTTTTTGTTTACGCTTGTTTGTGTTTTGGTTTTGTAATTCACAAAAACGCAGTGAACTGTTTTCAAGTTTCAAGTTTGTTTGCAGTATACTCGTATTTATTAAAAGAAAAAATCGAAAAATCACGTGTAGTAAAGTAAAAATTATTATTAAGAAAAATATTACTATTTAAATATTTATAAAAAAGTAAGCGTTTTGTTTCGTGTTAGGGATCGCAAACGCAGCCTTTTGGTACAATAGGTAGTAGGAGAAAGTAAAAAGCCTTAATGACTGCATGTGGAACTACTTAGCAACTAGTTTAGCAGTAGGAAAGAGTAGTAAAGTAAGTAAAATGCAGTTGGCTGCGAAAATAATTATCTAAACAAATTTTTTATTACCAAATTTGTTTTTTAATTAAAAAAAAATAAACTAAAGTTATTAATAATTAATTAAATATAAAGGTTTTTTATATATTTTTTTGTTTGTTTTTCATATATTATTAAGAATTCTTCTTTTTAATTCCGTTAAGCAATTTCGAATTTTTTATTAACAAATTTAAAAATTTTAATTATTCTCTATTGAAAGTTATTTATTATGAAAATGTTATAATGAGTTTTTGTTATAAGAAAATTACAAAAACCTTTTACGTTTTTTATTAAATAAAAACGTATTATTTTCAAAATTTTTGCATCTTTTTGTTATGAATGATGCAATGATATATAATGATTTTTTGAGAAAATTCTCAATTGGTTTTAATGAAAAAGTAATTTTAAAATATACTTTAACTCAATTCAATATTTTTTGGTGAATTATTATAGTTAATGATTTATTTTAATTGTGGTATGACTTTCAATCAACAGAGAGCTTTTAGTAAACGATAGAAAGCTCTTTATTCGCTGCACACAAAACATGGGAATACAAATAAATGATGAAGGAAAAGTAAAAAAAATATTTATTTTATTCAAAATCTAATTGTTTAAAGCTTAAAAAAAATTTAAAAATTGATAAATAAGAAAAAATTAATTTATGCAGTCTGTCACTCAAAAAAATTTTGTTTGAATTACCACAAATCTTGAGAAAGCATTTTTCGAAAGCAGAGCTTTTTACCCAAGCACATCGTGAAGGCATCAAAAATAAAAAGCTTTTGACGAGTGGTGAAATTTTTCGGGTATTTATTGAAAACTGTGGCTTTTATGCTTTTAAGTTTCTAATCTTAGCATTTTGAAAACTTGTTTCAAAGTAGCAGCTGTGTAGAGTTTTTGATGATGTATGGAACACAGAGTTTTTTATGCCTTCAACTTGAAAGCTTTGCTTTTTCGGACTTAGCTTGGAAGTCAATACTTACTTGATAATTTTACTATAACTATGATAAAACTATTTCACGAAACACATTATCTAAGCCTGTGCTATTTTTCTTTCAAATTTGAAATCTTACATTCATATTATGAGAGAAATGAAACTATAACAAAAAGCTTCTAAGAAAGCGTTTTTTTTAGTTTCGAAGTTGAAGTTTTTATTGAGTTATAAGATTTATATATGTATGTATGAAATTACATATGCTACGAAACTTCTTCGAGAGCTTTTCTGTTTCGAAGTTTTAGCTTTTACCGTTGTATTACTCCTGGAGCTTTTTATAAAACTAAATATTTTACTGTAGTAAACAAGTTTTTAAGTAAATATTGATTTTAAGCATCCTAAGGAATATTATTTTTTTTGCTGCGTTGTGAAATATAGGCACGCATTTAAGCCTTGATGCTTTTTCGAAAGCTTTTTAGTTTGCATGTTTAAATAATTATTGTTAGAGCTTTCAATAATATGGATGACCCGAAAGATCTGCGTTTTTAAATACGTATGCAATGAAACATTATCAAAAGCTTTCTAGTTTTGAATTTTAAGCTCGTATTATTTTTGTATTACTCGTGGAGCTTTTAGTAAAATTAAATATTTTTCCCTAATGATATTGTAATTAAAGAAATAAATTTTTTAAATAAGTCGATATGCAAATATTTATGGGTATGACTTTTTTCACTTATTTTTTCATGGAAAATCATTAAATTTTTTTTGAAAATTATTGTTTTTTCAACAGTCTCATTGAGTATATGTATGTTAAAAAAAATGTAGAATTAAAAAAAAAAATGAAAAAAGTGAAGAATATGAATAAAAAACATACAAAATTAGTTGTTTGAGTGATGCATAATTACTATGAAACCTGCTATACTTGTTTATTTTTTCGAGCTTTCACTTGATCTCACGTATGAAAGCTTTATTTTTTTTGCTTTCATCAAGCGTTACTTATATGTAAATTTTGTATGTATACATGTGTGCTGACGCATTTGTATGTTATTATATATGGTTTTATGTATAGTATAGTATGTATATGCACTTGAATGCATGTGTTATGTGAACATGCACGTATGCATTTATGTATGTATGTGTTGTACATTAACTCTTTACCTGATTTCCATCGTAAGTCCAACTACCGAATTTCATTTCGCAGTGTTGGTCATCAAATGGGAACCACGTGATGTCTATCTTGCATGTGCTCTTGAAGATACCAGGGGGCACGTACAGACAACTGCCGTTATGTTTGACCACAATGTTGGTGTGATACGTGCCATCGAATCCCTCATCCGCGCTATATAATTATAATTATAGCGTTTTATAGAATTTTATTTCTTCATTTATTTAAATTAATTTTTTTTTGAATCTTTTACTATTTGTTGTTTTCTTTTTTTTGAAGTTCGCTTTTGCTTTTGCTTTTATTTTAATTTTAATTCAATGTAAATTGATAGCGCATTTGCTACGCTAAATTAAAATCTAATTTTTCTCAATGCCTTCCTTTGCTTGGCTTAAAACCTTTCATTGTATATGTTACGTAAAAAAATATTCAAAATTCTTTTTCTTTAAGGCAATTGAAAAGAACTGAGTTAAGCCTTTTATATCCAACTTATGGTAAACTAATTGGTGGCATGATGTCTTTAGAGTGGTGCGGGGCTTGTGAGTGAAGAATATAAATAATTTTTTTTGTAATCTATGTATATAAGTAATATAAATATATACGATTTTTTTATTTGTGGTAGTATATAGAATAAATAAAATGAATATATGAAGGTGGTTTTGAATTTAAATGAAATAGTTTTAATTATATGTACAAATGAATGTATTTAAGTGATATATAAAGTACATATAGAGGCACATACTGTTATATACAAAAATGTAAATGATTGGTTTATGGCATGGCTGCTACAAGGGCAGCCATTCTGTTGTAAATTAGGCTGATAATGTACTCAAAATAAAATTTATTGCATACTTAGAGGCGTATAAAATATGGACACTTACTTTTGGCATTGTATTTATACATACATATATATTAATTTATATATACGTGTAATATTTGCTTGTATATGCTTCAAGACTTAACTATTCTTTATACATACATTTATGTACTTGTAGGATAAATATATAATTAAATAAATTAAAAGTAAAATATTTCCGGGAAAAAAATTTGTTCTTCTTTGTATTTCTTTTAATTTAAAGAGAAGAATAAAAATTTTATTTCAATAAAAAATTCAACGTACATACATATATAAACCTACATAAGGATCATAACCTGATTATAAAAAAGCAGAATTTTTGCTATAAAATCCGTTTCAGATATTTTTCGCTATAGCGAGTAACCAGAAATAATTTTTTTAATTCCACTTTTAAAAATAGCATTTCTTTCCACACTTTACACGAAGGATAGCCCACACATGAAAACCACACTCCAAGCAACGGTGTTTCTGAGCTCTGCTTGCGGTTTGCCCCATGTCAAAATTTGTATACATACATACATAATTATATTAATGGCAAATTAATTGAATCAACTTAATGTGAAATTCCGTATGCTTAATATAATTAAGTCACTGAATATAATTAATTTAACAACCACCAATATGTATTTGTAAGTAAGGCACAATGATATGCACATATATATGTGCGCTAGCCGTATTGCCTAATTGAACGTTGTTGTGGTGGAATTTGGCAAAACCATAAAAAATTAACTTTAATTTCCGTTGGCATTAAGGCGGACTCAGCTACTAGTAGAAAAATAAAATAAAATAAATGTAATTTAATATAAAATTTTTATACATTAATATAAAAGTAAAGAAATAAAATAGAATAAAATTTGATATCAAATAAAAAAAAAAAACACAAAATAACACAAAATAACATAAAATAAAATTAAATAAAATTAAATAAAATAAAATAAAATTAAATAAAATAAAATAAAATAAAATAAAATAAAATAAAATAAAATAAAATAAAATAAAATAAAATAAAATAAAATAAAATAAAATAAAATAAAATAAAATAAAATAAAATAAAATAAAATAATACTGAATAAAATAAAAGAAAAGATATATAAGCAAAATAAAATAATGGTAATTAAAATGAAACAAAATAATATAATAAAATAAAATAAAATTATAAAACAAATTGTTAAAAAAAATAATCAGATGAAATAAAATAAAAAAATTAATAAATAAAAAATTAAAATTATATAAGTTTTTCGCGTACAATGAACTTTAGTATGAGTTTTTAAATTTTAAAAATATATTTGAATTATTTTGAAGTAATCTAGTCCCTCGTCGTTTATGTAAATGCCACCTAATCCTTTTAATTCAATTACATAAGTGGCACTAAATGCCTTTGAAGCTTACGGCTTCTTTGCGCACACATTTGATCCTTTAAAAATCTATATCCTGCATTGTATTGTATGTATGAATTCTGTTCAGCCGATTGAACGTCGTCGTCGTCTGACATCAGCATTATGTCATTAATAATTTCCTTCAATAATCTCACTTTTCAGTTGCGGACTTACATTTGTGCTCGTAAATCAAATAAATCACTATGCCATAACATGGCTGGTTGCGCATGGTCAACAACCACCACAAGCCAACAGTACTGAGAGTAACCAAATAGACGGATAACCGAACAAACTACTATACATGGATGCCTGTAGCTTATGGCTAGAGGCGGTGGCGTTGGTGGTTCCAGCCAACCGCTAAGCGGCTGTGTGCTGAGATTGACCATGCTTTGGCGGTAACAGTAGCGCGGCATGTTTGTATGTATGAGTATGTGTAAGTCCAAACAGGGCAACAGTCAATTTGTTGCCGACATATTGTTTCCGCTTATTTGATGCGCGTTTTCTATGCGCTTTGGTTACTTTGATTTTAGCTTGGTTGTACGTGGGCTTGTGTGTTTGAATTCACTTCTAAGTTATCCTTTGCCAGAGCCGTCAATTATTGACTACCATAAATCGCTTCAACAGTTTCAATTACCAGTCGTCAGCTGCCAAGTGCTTGACTTTCTTTTCTATTTTCTAGTATTATATACATACATACATACATATATATATCTCATTGTGGCTTTTGTTCTACTTCTTAGGGATTTTGTTTTACTTTGACATAAGTCATTCATATGAATTGCAGCTTTGGATGACATTATGGATTTAAAAATCTCAACGAAATAAAAGCGCAGCAGAAAATATTTCTAATAAATTAAATAAATATTTAATATATTAATCAACATCTTTGTGTGAATGAAGAAAAAGGTAAAAGGACTAAAATATATATATAGATACCCTCAAGAGAGCTAGCTTAGACCAAAGCGACTGTGCTAAAGTAGGAATCGGATGTTTCCGTTCGGAAGCAGTTCAGCCAAAGGGACTGTCGTAAAAGAGAAAGAAAATGAGGATTAAGAAGATCAGCCGCATTATTGAATTACAGCTAGACAGGTGGACAAAAGACCAAAGGTCAATTACTGTGTGCTCCAATTAGCTGTAACAAGGTTTTTATGTGTTAAATAAGACAAGATGGGGTTACAAACCACTTGAGATGGCGTCTTTCAAGAAATGGATATGGTATTGTAAAATTGCTATGAAGTATGTATGCTAAGTTCAGAGTAGGGTACGATGAGGAATAGAAAACGGCTCCAACCTCAAGATGGAAATTAGCATTTCCCATTCCAAGACCGTTGGAGTGCGCTGAGGAATGGCATGCAGTTGGAAATACCAAATCGCTAGAGGGGTCGCGTGAGGTCACATGGTGCATAAAATAGTAATGCAAGGGAGCTAGCGAAGGAGAGCTGGCGTTCCTCTCTCGACACGGACGTTCAAGCCGTTCGAAGGCGGCTTAGAAAAACCGTAGGTTGGAAAATACAAGCTGCAGTTCACAAATTAAAGGAGGAGCTCGCCCGAAAAGCGCTTCAGCGGTTATATATATAGGAGAGCTGGCAGGCTTCAATCTTCCACTCTACGCTACTACGTCCAGAGCAGCAAGTCCAATTTATGCAGATCAAAGTGGCACTGAAGAGTAGCTTGAAAGGTTTAGAAGAGCCTAATCGCTATAACTGCCACACGGCGGATGGAGGAGCAGAAGACCAGTCTAAAATGAGCCAAAGGTAGTGTTTATGCCACAGAAAAACAGAAACTATTGGAAACGAAAGCATCGAGAACCTGCAAACACCCGCACACATGATATATGAAATATTCATACTTAAATCAATTGAAATCGATTGATCATATATATATTTAATATAGTTCCCATACAACTGATTCTTCAGGTATGAGATTTGCTGTCATATCTCCTACAATTAAGCGTGTAAAAAGATGAAATTTGACACAGTACTTATACATCATAACCATAATACTGGTAATAAAAATCAACAAAGTCGGACGACTATAACATATAGCTGCCATACAACTGATTGAACAAATTAGGAGATTTTGTGACGTAATTCCAACATTTGAGCATGTGAGAGCTTGAAATTCGCCACACTGCTCTTACCTGATAGCTAATATATGTAGACCGAAAATCAGTGAAATCGAACGACTATAACATGTAGCCTCCATATAACAGATTGTTCAAATTAGGAGATTCCATGTCATAATTCCTGCATTAGAGCATTTGAGAGCTTAAAATTTGGTACACTGCTCTTACCTGATAGCCAATATATGTAGACCGAAAATCAGTGAAATCGAACGACTATAACATATAGCCTCCATATAACTGATTGTTCAAATTAGGAGATTTCTTGTCATAATTCCTACATTTGAGCATGTGAGAGCTTAAAATTCGCTACACTGCTTTCACCTGATAGCCAAAATATGTAGACCGAAAATCAATCAAATCGAACTACTATAACATATAGCCTCCGTACAACTGATCTTTCAAATTAGGAGATTTTGTGCCGTAATTTCTACCTTTGAGCAAGTGAGAACTTAAAATTCGCTACACTGCTCTTACTTGATAGCAAAAATATGTAGACCGAAAATCAATCAAATCGAACGACTATAACATATAGCCTCCATATAACAGATTGTTCAAATTAGGAGATTGCATGCCATAATTTTCACAATTAATTTAAAATAGTAGAATTTATATAATAAAAACTTGATACACAGTTCTTTTTTATCAAAATTCACATATCAACACATTAAAACAGTTGATTTATTTTTCAACACCCTCCTCACCCCACATAAGCTTTATAAATGCTGACAATGTAATTTTTTTTCCATTATTGATCCAATCAAATGACAAGCATTTGACTTACTTTGTATAAATGTGTGTATGTATGTAAGTGTCAAATGTC